GCTCCAATGCAACCGAATTTTAGTCATCGCGTCTCTTCGCTTCGAGGTTCGGGATATCCATAAGCCGATGGTCAGCAAGTGGTCATCATTTGCTATCCCATTTAGCAAAATATTTTCAGAGGGTATTCCAGACGGTGCCGGCTTCTTGGCATGAAATTGTGGAAACTTACCCAATTAGGTCTCGCGATTTGTGCTTGCCGATGGAGGAGATGCTGCAGGAATTTAGCTTCAAAAGATCATCCAATTCATGGAGAATCTCACTGAATTTATATCATTCGAGAAAACAAAGCTCTTCGTGTTCGTGTTACGCAAACTATCCACAACATTGTTTTGCTTTTTTGTGACATCTCAGTCTTCGGGCAACTCTCGACGCCCCGGGCAAAGCCTGTGCCGCAGAAGCCTGTAGCAGTGTGAAGAACATGCAGAATATGCTCAGACCACGCAAATCAAGTCGGGTGCCAAACTTGTCCCGGATGATTAAGCTCAAAGGAAATTGCGCGCTGAGCCTCAATCGGAAGAAATAGCCGGTATCTTGATAATCGGCAAGCCACTTCCAGGCGCGCTCGACGATGACTGGCCGAAAAGATCTGTTGGGTCTTCGGACCAGCTCCGCCGTCACATCATGAGGTTATTTCCTCCACGTCTCCTCGGCCCGGGTTGCATCAAGAATCTTCCCGCGTGCCGTCTTGGCTCCCCAATTTAGCCTTACGAGGCCCTGCGTTCGTTCCGCCCGCGGGACGCGACGTTGCAGTTTTCGTGCTGTCATGGGCGGAATTCCGGAGCACTGACTACGTTTAAGGAATGTGGTTGGCGACTGGCAGTCGTCCTCTCCTGATCGGTGTCCTTTTCCGTGTCGCCTCGACCGAAATGTCGACTCAGAACCCTCACGCTAAATACGGCCGGTCCCATAAGCTGACGCCAGTATCCGGTGCCGTGAACCCGGACGTTGTGGGTCTGATGAGGATTGGCGGCAACGCCGACTTACACGGGAGCGCGCCAGGATCATCGTGGGTTGGAGCTCGGGGTGGAATAAAAGTCTGATAATCGCCCATCTAATCTCATCTAATCTGGAGTCTGTCTCGACACCGTGCTTGGCATACAGCATTTCCCAGACAATCGACCATGGCAAGCCTCGAGGGGAACCGCAAGACGGTGAACGAAACCGTCGTCGACGAGCCGGAGCCCGTAAGCCCGACGAACACCATTGAAGAGGTCAAGCGCTCTTCCGGTATGGTCAATGCTTCTCCCACATGCCAAGGATTTTTATCTAAAAGATCTTATCAGATGAATCTAGTGCCCCGAGCCAAGATGTTCTATACGCGGCCGGCGTTGGCCTGAGACCCGACGACCCTTCCTTGCCATGCCTCACTCTCCGCATGTGGATTATCGGTATCGGCTTCTGTCTTTTGGGCAGCGGCGTCAACACCCTCTACACGTTCCGGTTCCCGTCGATTACCCTGTCACAGTCCGCAATTCAGTTCTTGGCATACCCGGTTGGAAAGGCTTGGGAGTTTGTGGTTCCGGACTGGGGTTTCAATGTCAGAGACAACCACTACAGTCTCAACCCGGGTCCATTCAACTACAAGGTTGGTCTACGCATCACCTGATGTTTCTCATATGACACCAATACTGACAGATGTAACAGGAGAACATCCTTATTTACATTATGGCCAACCTTAGTTTCCTCACTCGACTCAGCGCGGACGTCTTGACCGAACAGCGAGTTTTCTACGGTTACGAAGCAGGATGGGGTTTTGAACTTACAGTAACTCTGGCCACGATCTTGTTTGGATTTGCTTTGGCAGGGCTGTGTCGCTCCTTGGTGGTTGAGCCTGCTGGCTTGCTATGGCCTGGTGTTCTTGGCAACACTGCCCTGAACGCTGCTCTGCATTCCAGCAGAAAGGAAGACGAGACAGAGTATGCTCTGTTTCTACACTTAAAGAGATGACATAGCTGACATCGTGTCTTGAACAGGACCAAGTGGACAGCCTCGAGATACAAATTCTTCATGTTTGCCTTTGCCGCATCTTTCTGCTGGTACTGGTTCCCCGATTTCATCTTCCCTGCATTGGGATACTTCACCTGGGTCTGCTGGATTGCGCCCAACAACGCCGTGGTAAACCAAGTCTTCGGAATGAAGAGCGGAATCGGTCTCCTGCCTTTCACGTTCGATTGTAAGTTGTTAACTCGTTGTCAGTAAGTTCATGCTGCTGACTCAAAATAGGGAGTCAAATTGCCTACATTGGTTCCCCACTGGTTGTGCCTACCTGGGCTATCCTGAACGTTCTTGCGTCCTTGGTCTTCTGGATCTACATCATCTCACCAGCTCTCTACTACTCAAACACTTGGGAGTCTGCTTACTACCCCATCCAGAGCAACTCCATTTACGACAAGAACGGAAAGACATACAATGTTTCCAGAGTCATCGACAAGAAACATGGCTTCACCTTCAACGACACCAAGTACGAAGCCTACTCTGACGTAAGTACACTCTTCACAACGCTTCTTGAACTGCGCCGCTAATCATCGTAACCACCCAGATTTACCTCCCGGTCACGTATGCCCTCAACACCTTCGGTCTCTGTTTCGCTACCATCGCTTCTCTCTTTGTCTGGCTGTTCCTTGAGAAACGCAGAAGCATCGCCGCGGCATTCAGAGCGTCTCCACTCCCCGCCCTCTTCGGTCGCAAGGTCGTGCCTCGAGACAACCCCCAGCCGTTGTATGCAGCTGTGCCAATCTTTTGGTACTGGACCGTGGCCGCTCTCGCTCTGGGCTTTGGCATTTTTGCCTGCGAGTTCTACCCCGTTCAGCTGCGATGGTACGGAGTCATTCTGTCTTTCGTCGTCTCTGCGGTCTTCTTCATCCCCGTAAGTCCCACTCTCCGCAACTGCAGCATCGTTTCAATGTTGACAGAAGTTTGCAGCTTGCCTGGGTCTATGCCACCACGAACATGAAGATCCAAATCGACATCTTTTGCCGAATCGTCGCCGGCTATATCTGGGAGGGCAAGGTGCTTGCTAACATCTGGTTCTTCAACTTGGGGTACATCTCGGGTATCAAAGGGCTTGCGTTTGCTCAAGATCTCAAGCTTGGAATTCACTGCAACGTGAGAACTCGCATTTTCTCACATCTTATCTAATCCAGCTAACGTTTGTGCAGATCCCACCAAGACACCTGTTCCTTGTTCAGGCAGTTGGCCTGGTCATCGGAAGTCTCGGTCAAGTCTCTGTTCTCAACTGGGCCCTCAACCACATTCCAGACATCTGCTCGACCACCGCACCCAACGGCTTCACATGCCCCTTTTCTCGAACCCATTTTAACACCAGCATGGTATGGGGAGCAGTCGGCCCTCGCCGTTTCTTCGCAGACGGAGCCATGTACCGCAACCTCCTCTGGTTTTTCCTCGTTGGTGCAGTCTTACCGGTGATTGTCCATGTTCTCAGGAAGAAGGTCTTCCCGAACGCTACATGGCTCAAGAAAGTCCATGTGCCCTTGTTTCTCGGCGCGCTCAACTACATTCCTCCGGCGTCTGGTACAAACTATGGCAGTTGGGCGATCGTGGGACTTCTGTTCGGGCTGCTCATCAAGAGAAGACAGAGAGATTGGTGGAGGCGGTATAACTTCGTGCTCAGTTCTGCGCTGGACTGCTCCGTTGCCATCGCTGGTATTGTCATCTTTTTTGCGCTGTTCTACACCGGGGCCTCGAAGAAGTTTAGCTGGTGGGGAACGGACGTCTACAAGGTATGATCTCAAATTCTTTTGAGGATCGAAATGCGGTATACTAACCATGTGTTGCAGAATACTTGCGACTGGAAGAGTTGTACCTACCTAGAGAGACCTACCACGAAATCTGCCTGAATGTGATGAATGAAGAGAAGGGATTTCGGCTCGGGCATTCTCTTACTACAGCGGATGCTGTCGAGTATTGTGTAAAAGGGGGATGGAGAATCCTGTACCGCCATGTGTCAAGTCCAGCACAATTAGATAGTCGATACTCGGGCATGTATTAATCTGAAGTAATCTGTTGCAATAAAATCGGGTGTAATATGCATTTTTCTGTACAGGTCCAGCAACCTGGCTCCAAGCGTGCACGCACAAAAACACCGTAGACATGCGGGCGACATTGCGGTTCTGGCCATCAGTCCGTCCCTCGAGAGCAACGTGGCATTACTCAGCGGGAGTGCAGTCGGCAATCTCAGACAGGGCTTGGGGAATAAGGTCGCTTTCGGCTGTAGCAAATGCGAAGCTATCCATTTCACCAGGGATATTACCAGGCGGCCGGGCTGCTACACGCCAGGGTGGGGGCTTGGGAAATCAAAGCGTTGATGGAGTTGGTATGCTAGATGGGTGTTTGGTTTGATAAGAGACTTTTATTCTCGTACCACGTCGGCACCAGGGTGGCGGCGGCAAAGAAGGCAGCTCGACATTTCGAGCACCTGGCGAACATGAAGAGGGGCCTCCTGCGGCTGCTAAGGTGGTTCTTGAGGGTATCCAACTACACACTGCAGTCTGCCTGCAGAATTTTGATCACCGACTTTCCGCAGTCCCACAGCTCGCTCGATAGCGAACGTAGCGGACGAGACTTCACCAACACAGCCAAAACAAAAAGCAGCAAGAGAGGTCAAAACAGTCCCACAAAGCCACATGGTTCTCTTCGTGAATAACTTTCGAGGGACGAACGGAGCTATGGGATATGGCTTTATCATCTATCGAGACTCCAAACGCATAGCGCAGGGCTACGAACGGCTTGGGTTAGGAGATGTTTTCGACGCCGAAGTGGAAGACGTAAGGGCTGGACTACACCAGGCTCTACGCAGTCACTCAAGCCAGCCAACTCACTTATGAACTGACAACAGCAATTTCAACAGCATCAGCATTCACTTCCTGAAGTCTGTGTGTTTACCACAGTCTCTATGGAATACCAGCAGCGCTAAGTAAAGCCTCCAAGAACCACCAAGGTCGGTACCTCATACGCCACATGTATGGGCTCAGCATCATCATTAACCACGGCCTAGATCCTTGGACTGCCCGGCGCGTCGCCATCAGCATTCACTTGTTCACACCTTAGATCACTAAGATCAAACGTACCTCATAACCGGGAGGGCACGGCGTAATGCAGTTCCAAAAGCCGTCACCGTACCCGTGACACTCGTACTCGCCGTCGTCATTTGCAGTTGTGATGGGCTTGCTGCAGGGCGGGAGGTCCATCTTGCCTTGGGCGTTACCCTTCCACCTCGCGCAGCCCATGCAGGCGCCGTACTGCTTACCCGGGGCGGTGCACTGGCGCGCGCAACGGCTGCTACATCCGGACACGTCGTCAACGCTGTAGTCTGCAAAGAGCCAGGCGAAGTCGCCGGGGGAGAGATCGCGGTTCGATGAGAAGCCTGGGGAGCAGGCTTGGGCGAGTGGTGCGCTTGCGCAGAGAAGAGCGGCGGCGATGGTTGCTGTAAGATGCATTTTTGTTGGTGCGTGTATCAGCCTAGGAGAGTGCTGAGAGGTGGGAGGGGGGGTGATTTCGGAGTTTGAAAATCACGAGATTTGAGAGACTTTTGATAGTAAGAAGAGCAGGAATGCAAGAATATGTACACTACACCAAGTGGCGGCAGTGGTTAATAACGACACCGTCGGCAGCCATTTCCACAGAGTCCCACTCATTGGCAGTTTACAATCCAATATGAGAATCTCGGGGTTGGCTTGCCATCTTGAACGGGGTTTGCGGATGTACGCGGAAAAAGAGAAGACGTCGAGCAGAAAAGATTTATCTCCTTCCCCACATACTGAATTGGACAATCGAGGTCATTTAAATGTAATTAACCTTCCGGCCTCCTCGGCTTAGTTCTCAGAAACTTAGGTCCCAGTATCCTTACCATACCAGTGTCTCTTCAAGCAATTAGAGCCTATCAACCTCTGGAGGAAACCTTAGGCTTTGGCATTGCTTCGGACTTGTGATGACTGTTGAGTTTGCTGTGACAGAGACCGCATCGATTTCCCCGTTGCCACCTGATACAGAGCGGGCAAACGCCAAAACATCTGACGACAAGTAGTGGCCAAAGCGTTTTTTATCCAGTTGGGTTTCGGAAGTACAGCAATGCGTTGTGTGACCGACCCTTTGCTGTCGTGTATTTAGAGACAGCGTGTGTCACTGTGCTGTCCTGCTGTCCTCCTCTAGCAAAATGTCATATTTTATCTGCCAGACCTGACAGCGAGTCAGCATAAGCGGTCATTGAAGTTCTGTTGTCCAACAAGATGAGCGTTTGTACTAGCACCAAGCTTAGTACAGTGTTTAATAAAGTATAGCCGCCTGGGGATGATCCTGCTAAAGTATAAATATCACGGGATTGCTGCTAGGGTGGCGTTGGTATTGCGAGTCATGGCTGTACCGTGACCCCTTTTCTTGCGGCGACGCCCCGCATACACAGCGCAATTCTCTCCTTCGCGTTACGTCTGATATCTAGATCTTGCGCTACAGCTTATCATAATTTGTCTACTGTTTCGAACCTGCTCCAAGAGCCGTAATCATTCCTCTGTGCAGCATACTCCAACCTCTTGGATTTCGGGAACAAAGGCTGTACGTCGCAAGCGAGCGTCGGGATGATCCTTCAGGTTCTCTTGATGTTGCGGGATTTTGAAGAGAATCTTCGTTTCGATGAAGCAGATTCCTCAATGAGACTGTAAGTCTCTCATCCTCTTTTCATACTGTCGAAACATGAAGTGGTCTGTCCGTAGAATTGCTGTTTGCTTGACTTAAAAAGATGAGTTGTGTTCCCTGAGCCTGCTGATAAGTATCTGATGTACTGTTTCCTTGGCACAATGCAGAGCCTTTTCATGCGTTTTAAGCATTCCCTGCGTGACAACTGACTATGAAGCCATTTTCGGGCTTTAAATGGATTGGTGGAGAACTAGACCTAGTCAAGAAGGGCTTGAGCATGTCTCCGGGAAGACTGTAGGAAATGATCAAAAGGAGCACACCGCTTGCGTACACGTGTTGTGGACAACTATGCTATTTTCCACTTCAAAATTGTAACATCACGCCTCTTTATAAATAGCGGCTGGGTAATGGGCCTTCATCAGCTGATACCTAGCGAAGTGATATACCTGGGATGATAACTGGCTCAAAGCTTCCTTTCTCGAGACTATTACTAAGCTAAAGACACAAAGCTCAAGGATTTTATTAAATATACTATGCCTATGGGTTTTACTCTACGGGGTCTTAACGATAGATGGCCATTCAAGAACATTTTCTTGTCTTTTTCATCTTGCCTTTCTTAACGTTTTGACAATATCGTAATCAGGCAAAGTAGTCTGTGCCGGCCATGGGTTTAACAAATGCTTCACATGAGCACTTAACAGCGCAAAATCCTCGCAAAATGAGCGCATTTCCCGATTTCAACCTGAGATGCCCTGGACCTGTTTCCAAGTTGAATTGTTTCTTGAAATGAATCCGACCACAAGTGCCCCCATCAATGATATACGTGCCCTACGTCCTGCTGTGACTCGCAATCGTGCTTTCTAAGCTTGGCCCAGGCCAAAGTCGGAGACGGTCAAATTAAGATTCAGGCTCTATCATGCATCAAGTCATCCGTCAGTTCCATCCATCAGAGAGGGAAGAACTTTGCGTGTATTGACTTACCTGTCCAACAGCAAGGCAGCATCGAGGGCGTCCCCGGCAAGATTCAATTCGGCATCGAGAGTCGCGCCCACGGTTGCAGTAAAGATGACATTTTCCTTGTACTGGAGAGAATTGGTCGTCGGGAATAGAGAGTCGTAGATTTCTGTACCCGTCTCACCACCCTTGTGGAAGATGAGATCTTCGTCGATGCCGTCAATCACGTTTTGCTTGGCGTGTTTCATGCCGAGAGCCAGTGCTTGTATGCTGTCCGTCCCTCCAATGAAGCTATAGCTAACAATGCTGTTTGCGAGCCTTGCAGACCAACCGCCGTCTGCTTTCGAGATGATTAGACGATCGGTCATTGGTGCGATGGTTTGCGTGAGAAGGGATAACGGTAGAAATTCAAACGTGTTTCCCCAGGTGATGAGAGGGTGGGCGATCAAAAATATTGAGTTGCGAGTGGGAACCCTTTATGTTGTGGTCATCTTTGTTTTCTTCCATGTTAAGCGGCTGATAGAAGTCGCTGAGATTTTCATGTGCTGGAGCTGAGAAGCATGTCTCAAACTTACGGAAATTGGATGGGTGCAAGTGCCATTTCAGATGCGAGCGGACTATGTTACCTCACGTCGTTAGGGAGTCTTTTGGCTTTGATCCTATCCAGTCCCGAAATCACTGTTTCTCAAAAAAATGTGATAGTCTTTGATCCAATATGTTGAAAGATTATCCCTGACGTTTTGACCCAGGTTCGCTCAAACGAGAGGAAATATTTCGCGGAGCACTTCACATCGAAGAATAGAATATCACCGTACCTAACGGAGGTCATCTTGTTCAGCTAGCCATCTTCCAAAGGCCTGAGACATGCTCCTTTCAGCGTCGCTAAAAGTACTTGCACGCATCATCGCCCCAAACTAAAGCAAACACGAGAATCTAGTGGCTCAAGCTTCATGCTCTGACTGGATAACAATGCATGTGATCAAAAGAGGCCTGTCTCGAGCGTGGCACTACCAAACGCGACGATGGTCAAACTCTCACATGCGATGGTCTAGATGCCTAGGCCACCTATGAAGCTACGAAGCTATTCTCAGCTCAATTTGAAAGCCATAGAGCGATCCTTTCCGTATCAATCTGATCATTGCAGTCGCCTTTGGAATCCCACCCAGACCTTCATCCCCGCCTTCCTCGCCCGCCATCATCCCTTGCTTTGTTTCCTGTCCTTAACCTTCTCTTTACTAACTTCTATATTTAATCTCTTCTGTAGTATTGTACTATTAACCAGTGATAAACTGGTAGTCTCCTCTATCATCTCACTACCAATATCTGATCCTCATACGCTGCTCAGTAAATGTTTTGTTGTCTAGCTGAAGCTAAAGTTGGTTGAGTGAACTGTCCCGCTACATCCCGGCGCGCTTGCCGGGGTTGGACGTCCAGCCCCAAGCACGCAACCGCGGCTCCAATCCTAGCTCCCGTTATGGGGTCTCTTGTAGATCGCGTCATTTGCTCGAGCCTGCCTTTACGTACTAAAATTGCCGAAATCCCACTCTCCTCGGCCTACCGAGTCCACTTCCCACCGGTCGTCAATAACCTCGATTGCTATCTTGACTTGTAGAGGGAAACAGGTTCCGATTTCTATGTGCGATACTCGAACATTGGAAAAGCGAAGCATTTGATGCATCAGAGAACTTCTGGGCTGTTCTCTACTGTCTCTCTACTTGCTGGTAACCTGGCTGAAGCGTTAAGTGCTGTTCATCATCAGGAACAAACCCATCCAGTGTGTTTGTCAATGCATATGGAAGTATCAGTCTGGAAGTGCCAGTCAACTCCTTCGGAAGATGATGCAGGATCGCGGAAGGCGGAAGCGGATATTCGCCATGTCGGCGATGTCTGTTGTCATCGAGAAACCCTGTCCAGTAACCCAGTCGTCCCCCTACCTCGGTGCCGATTGTATCATCCACCCCTCCAATGTTGAAATCAACATCGGGCCGTAAACCAGCACCGACCACTGACAACAGCAGGATTGCAACTCCACAAACAAACAATTGCCTGAAAATCAAAGCTCTATAGGGGTTTGACATACAGCTTTGGCTTACGAAGCAGTTATTCCAAGGGTTCTCAATGGCCTCTGACAGTGGCAAGTGGAATCTTAAACTTCCAGAGACTGACCGTCTTGAATTTCAGGTGTGTTGCATCCTCTAAGCCTATTCCGATGAAGTATTCCGAGAGGGAAAATGGCGAGTAAAAAGGTCTGCATGGTATATAGGTTTCCCGGCGATCGCGTTTCTTCTCCTTCCTTCTCGATCGCTGGCGCTATGCAGTGACCTTGTCCCTCCTCCCGACACTACTGCCATCCAACGGCGAAGCTCTTTTCTCCTGAAACACTGCTTTCAGCCCTACCCGCTAGTCTTCCGTCTCTCCCGTCTCTTGGTACTTGGCATCTCAATGACTTGGCGAAAGCCCTTCGGAGACCGCGCTGCGGCGTCTGGCACCGTTGCCGGGGGCCAGGTCGAACAGATCTCCAATGGCAGCGTCCAGTACATCGGCGAAAAGGGCGGCAATGATGCACCTCCAACATACCAAGATGCCTCCGGTGCGCCCGTTGAGAACAATTCGCCTTTGGGATATTCCGTCGGGCCGGTTACTATCACGTTGCTGAACATCACGATGATGATCGGTGCTGGTATCTACTCTACACGTGCGTCATCTCTCCGAGCATTTCGCAGTACACAGGGCATGCTGACATTTCCAAGCTGCTTCAATTCTCGCGGGTACTGGTTCCGTTGGTGTTAGCTTTGTCTATTGGACTCTTGGTTACCTGGTAAGTCACCCGGCGTCCCCATACACGCAACCCGACGGCGGCAGCCAAAATGACAACAATGGCTGACCCAATCACGCGATCAGCTATGCATGGCATCTGGAGCCGTCTACCTCGAGTTCACCGCATACTTCCCCAGTCGATCCGGCTCCGAAGTCGTCTTCCTCGAACAAGCCTACCCCCGTCCCATGTGGCTTTTTCCAACCACATTCGCGGTACAGAGTGTTATTCTATCCTTTGGAAGTGCAAATGCCACGGGTAGGTGCATACGCTAGATAAAGTACGACTCAATCGCTGATCAGATGGAAAGTCATGGCAAACTACCTGATTGCCATATCTGGCCATGAGGGCACAGATTGGCAAATCAAGGGGACCGCCTTAGCCTGCTACACCCTAGCCACACTGAGTATGTTGCAGTTGATCTTTACGTTGGTTTCAGTAGGCTGACCGCCTTCAGCACTTGTGTTCAACACCAAGTACGCTTATTGGTTTTCCAACGGCGTCGGAATCGTGAAGATTTGCACTTTGCTTTTCGTCATTATCACGGGTTTCGTCGTTCTAGGCGGACACACAAAGGTTCAGGACCCCACGGCAAACTTCAAAGATGCCTGGTCTGGTAGCTCTTCGGCCACTGCATACGGCATGACTACTGCACTTTACCGCATCATCTTCTCATACGGAGGTAATTTCCAACGAAATCTTCCGACTACTCCCAAGAATGAATTTCGGTCAACTAACGCATGAAAAGGTTATAACAATGCATTTAATGTTGCTAATGAAGTGAAGGTATGTGGCCGAAGGGCCGAAACCCCCCCGCAAGTGATGATATGCTTATTTGAGTGCCCCTACAGAATCCCGTCAGATCCCTCAAGATCTACGCTACCGCAGCTTTGACCACGGTCTACGTCCTTTACATGTTCGCCAACGTTGCTTTCTTCGCTGCTGGTGAGTTGTGACCCTTGCAGAATAACAGCCAATCCCCTCCAGAAAGGCTAACTGATTGCTCCTTATTAGTGCCAAGAGAGGATCTTGAGAACTCTGGCTTGACAGTTGCAAGTCTCTTCTTCACGGCAGTCTTCGGAAACTCTGGGGCTGTGCGTGGTCTGAACTTTCTTATTGCACTGGCCTCTTTCGGAAATATGATCGCGGTTATTATTGGGCTTTCTCGCCGCATTAGAGAATGCGGTCGCCAAGGCGTACTGCCTTGGACAAGATTCTGGGTATCTACGAAGCCTTTTGGAACGCCATTGGGACCGTATGCGGTGATTTGGTTTCTGACTGCGCTAATGATTCTGGCGGTCCCTGCTGGAGACGCTTTCACTTTTGGTACGAGCCCCATACATGGCCCCGAGCTCGGCGTGGGACCCGTCTCGCTAACGATGCTACAGTCAACGATCTCGGAGTCTTTCCCCAGGCCGCCTTTAACTTGGCAATGGCTGTGGGTATCTATGTCGTCCGCTGGCGGCGGAGTAAGCTGAACCTCCCCGAGCCCGAGTTCAAAGCGTGGCACGTGGTGATCATCTTCAACATCTGCATCCAGCTTTACCTTCTGATCATGCCGTGGTACCCGCCGGCAGGCGGACAGTACGCTGGTGACGTCAGCTTTTGGTATGCGACGTACGCGGTGACCGGTGTGGGAATGTGAGCAGTCTTTCTCCCCAATAATCTGACTCGCAATGGCTAACGAGATTGCAGTCTCCTCGCCTGTGCAGCTTACTACTGGTTTTGGGCATTCCTCATCCCAAAATGGAAGGGCTACAAGTTGCGCCAGGAACTCATCAGTTTTGAGGACGGTGCTCAGAGTAACCAGCTTCGGAAGGTCCCTTACGCCGACGTTGCCGAATGGGATGCTACTCACGATGCGGCTGGGCGCATCGTCAACAACACCACCGTTACCGAAGCTCCGGTCCAAGAGAAGGCTGTGCGCACTTCATCTGAGGGCAGCAACTCTGATGTCGGTAACTCAGTTTCTGTGAGTAATCGGAAAAACGGCGGTGTCTAGCTTATGAGATAATGGGATGCACTGCATGAGCCATGTCTGATCGTCATCTGGTACGGGCGCTGGTGATTAAGTAGCCGGATTAGAGTTCTTGCCTTTTCCCCGAGAAAACCAGCATTCCCACGGCACGCGGGGTATTGCGCAACACAAATCAATATATTATTGAGCTTGCGCTGATTGCGCCGAGTCGAATGTGCACGTGAAAGGCTGCATGAACATGAGTCGCCCTGCCAAGGCAGTCACTCAGCCTAACTAAGCTCAACCTGGGATAAATGCACTGAGGCAATCATCACGATTAATGAGCCACAATTGTGGCAGATTACGGCTACCGTTCGAACTGCTGATAAGCAATCTATCGGACAACATTGCCTTGGCTTGGAGGGTGCGCTAATGTTGGTTTCGTCACACAACCGCGAGACACATGGGAAGGGTGATCCCGTTCCCTACCGGAGCACCCGGCAAGAAGGTTATTTAGACAGCTTCGGCATGCCTGGCAAAGCGAGCCCGGCCGAGGGATGGGCCATGAAGGGCCAGACTGGGGACTTGGCGCGGCACAGGGCCGGCTGGGTTCCTGCGCCTGAGTCAGGGAATGCCCTCGTCACACAGCGCGGCTGTGGCGTTAGCGCCTCGCAAACCATCGTTCTCATTGTCTGCGAGGCTCTCGTGCTTCGGACTTTGGCATCGCTATCTTTTCCATCTTTGACTCGTCACATTTCGTGCAGCATCAGATGATTGAACAAGGCACATCGATTACGTCAATGTCAATCCTCAATATCGAAATGCCCTTGTTCCCCCAACCCCTCAGACCCGCGCAAATCCATCCGTCTGCTCCTCGCCGGCCCTCATCGGCCAGCATCCGCAGTCGTCTCACGGTCCAGTAAGACGTCCGGGCGTGCACAACCGCGCGGGCGGGCGGGCGGCCTTGAATCGCACGCGCATCACACGTGGTTCGTGGGCTCGCGATAACGGGCGGGGTACTTGTCAATTCTGCATGAAAGGGTAAGAAAGTGCATGTACCAAGTGGAGAGCTGATAGCACACCGATGGCGAAATCGCCACAGAATTGAGTTCCCCGATATTAGGTCAAGCAACGTGATCCCTCTTTCAACGCCCATCAACTCCATCATGGACCCAGCAAAATGGCCGGAGAGGTTGCACGGGCTCACCAACCGACATGTCAATGTGAAACCCCGACCCAGCGGACATCGGACGAACCAATGGACCATTCAGCCGGCCCCAGGGGTCATGATTCAGTCCTGGCCTCACCCTTCCCACCGGCGCAATCGCTCATGCCGAATCGAGGCGAGTGGCTCACTGCGTTAAACCATCTTTAGGATATATTGTAACCCAACTTCAAGAAACTCTGCGTGGGGCGAATCAATATCAGACAGCCCGCATGCATATTGTAGTATTTCGAGCTTTTATGCCAAGAGACAGATGACAGATTCTCAGGGCTTACGCACATGAGAGCCAAACCAGAAATAGACATAGTTCAACGGCTGGAGATACCCACGAGGCGTTCCTCGAATCTTGGGTCGGTGTATACGGACCTGTCCGCGGCAATGCGACGGTGCCTTTGAAGATACTTATGTGCAGCCCACGATCCAGCTGCTTGGGATCCTCTGTCTTGGTTCTTCTAGGGTCGCAGCAGATGGCCGCATCTGGTATTATGCTCCGTGCTCGCTGAAACGTATAGCTGGACTAGATATTCATTCTTCAAGCAGACGATTCCTGGTCTCCGGTCTTCTTGCATCTTCGTTTCAACTTGACATGAAAAGCCTCCTTCAGTGGGCGCTTGTCCTGCTGCCATGGGCAGCTGAGACCGTCCGAGGTCAGGCTAGTACCACGACCACGACCACTTCGCCGCTTGATCTCATCAGTCAGATTCCTCAATGCGCGGTAGGTTGTCTGTCGCGGCATCGCCAATTCATGCACGATCTAACCCTTGGATAGGTATCATGCGTTACCGATTCTTTTCTTGGGTCAGGATGCCCGCTCGACAACATCGCTCAGTGCGTTTGCACCAACACGACACTGTTGGAGGGCCTCTCTGGATGCGTACAAACCTCCTGCGAATGGCGAGATCAACTGAGTATGTGTTTTGGTGTCGGAAATTGCAAGCATAGCTAACAGACAATCACAGAGTTGTCGTATATGACCGATGACCTTTGCCGACCGTACCCTCACGCATCCCGAGATCTCGAAATCAAGTTGGTCGTAGCCGTGCTGGCTGTGCTTACGTTCCCCGTTGTGATTCTGAGACTTGTCTCCAGAAGGTCTATCGCTGGAAAGCTGGAGCTGGACGATTGGACTACATTGGTGACGGCTGTAGGTGCCCATGGCTTCCGTCTCGCCCTTGCAGAAATACTGACCTGGGCGAAAGATTGTCTTAGCCGCCACCATGGGATGTGTCATCGCAAGTCAGTTGATCTCAGCTTCTACTTCCACTCATTCCACTAACAATTTCAAGGCGCCAAACTCGGATTCGGCCTCCACTACTGGAACGTCAACCCCGCCAACGCCCAGCGCATCATCCAAGTAGGTCTCCAGTCACGACTATTCATGCCTCGATCGTGCACTAACTGTCATGGCAGCTTTACTATGCTGTTCAAATGCTCTACATTATCGTTCTCATATTGGCCAAAGTGTCAATCGTCGCGCTCTTTGCGCGAGTTTTCCCAAGCCGCAAGTTTCAGCTTGTGAACAGACTTGTCTTTGTCTTTCTCGTTGGCCATGGACTGGTCTTTACCTTCGTCATCATGTTCGAATGCACACCGATTGCCGGCATCTGGGACCGGACTCTCATCCGCAAATGCGTGGACCTCAACGCCGTGGCACTGGCCAGCGCTATTCTCAGTATTGTCGAAGATATTGTTATTCTCGCCATGCCCATTCAACAGCTCAGCCAGTTGCAATTGGGGTCAAAGAAGAAGCTGGCGGTCATCTTCATGTTCAGCTTGGGATCATTGTGAGTTTGTTCTCTTCATCGGCCTTTTGCAACCTCAAGCGCCTCATGCTAACATATATCAGCGCGTGCATCACTTCGATCGTTCGTCTTCGATGGCTGGTCCTCTTTGCTGATTCCTATGACACCACATGTACGTTGCATAAGCATTTGACCCTTGAGACTGTCTCAAATTCTGACATCGTTGTACAGGGGATAACGTGGACTTTGTGACGTGGAGCATCACCGAGATATCAGTCGCACTGATGTGTGGAAGCCTTCCCGCACTACGACCCCTCTTCAAGAAGATCCCTGGTCTTCTTACAACGATCCGCGGACCGACCGTGGAAATCAAAGAAACACACGACAGAGGCAGCAGTCACATGTCGTTGCGCGACAAGGGTGCCATCCCTATGTCGCCAAAATCAAGCTCAACGGAGGCGGAAGTTGAAGAAGACATGATTATAATTCATATTTCAAACGACCACGACCCGCGGATGAAGCCTCTCCCCCCACCGCCGCTGCAGCCACTTACCTATCAACCCCCTTGGCGAGGAAGCGGAAGCGTTAGTGGCGGGCACAGGACTCCAAGCCTGATGAGCCCGAGCCTGTTGAGATCGCCGAGAACGCCGAGAACACCAATGACTCCGATGACCCCAGGCAGCATGAGAAGTGTCAGAAGAGAGGCGGATGCAGAATACGAGATGGACCTTCGAAGCGTCGTGAATACGAAGACGTGGATGTAGACGGATTTACTTGATACCCCCTTTCCTACCTTTTCTTCTAAACCTTCAATCTTAGTATATATTCAATATTATCCGTACATATGATGGTACTACGGCACGAGTGATGTTGCGCAGATGACACCGGCGTATAAACCGTAAATCTCATGGATGATATAAGATTCTCTGCTGAAATGTCTTGCTGTCCGGGCGGATATTTCCAGCTCAGTGGGCAGACTGTTATCTATCGGTCTTATTTACAAGCTACATCCAGCGCGAGCCTGATGCAAAAGGATGGAGGACTACCTCCGTTAGGGACCCTGCTAAGTGGGTCAGTTTTCGCAATCATTTTACGAATCGGAATCCATGGAGTTTTAAGTTGTGACAGGCAGGGAAGACGACCTGACGTGCAGGCCAAGATAACCGGCCAAGACGTGCCGAGTGAGGCTCGGGCGAGCGCCAAGTCCAACACTTCAACAGCAAGATTCACTCAAGCGACGCTTATCATATGGAACGAGGCGCAGTTGAGTGGGTGACGAATCTTTTCTTTATCATATTCTCAAGTCAAAGTTGGGGGAGTCCGGACTATTATCATCATCCATCGATTTCTCTTTTGGAGCCTGCTTTCCGAAGCCGTCAATCGGATCAAGTGGACGAACATTTTGGCACGTAGAGGAAAATACATGTGCCGTCTGACTGCATGCCTAAAATGAGGCGTACTATGGCGTCCGAAGGATCGGTTCACTTAATAAGACTGGCGCCGTTCTATGTTGGCTGACGTTCCAGACTGAAGACGAGGGTTGGACATAAAGAGCAGTTTATCTTTCACCTGTCGTTCATTTTCTAAACCTTCCATTTCCTAAACTCATAGTATTTTTACTACCTCCAACTCTGACTCCCGATCACGCCACAACCGCGCATTGCAGCAAGATTCAAGAGCCAAGATGGGATCGCTCAATAATCCCCATGACAACTTGGTCGTTCTCGCGGAGTCGCTCTTGCAAGATGCTAGAAGCCTTGCCTCGACAGACGATAAGGCTTTTAAGTCTAAGATGTTCATGAAGGCAAAAAAGATGCTTCAACTTACGACAGGGCCAGAAGAAATGATTGGCGGGTTTGCCGTGGCGGTAAGAGTCTCATCGATAACCCGACTAGTTTCAATATTATCAAAATTCAGCAAATGACTGACTCTGGTGAAGATGGGCGAAATCGGCGCTCTGAACCAGTTCATAGAATGGAAGCTGTTCGACGCTATCCCGGACAAGGGCAGTATCTCGTACGCGGATCTCGCCAAGTCTATCGACGCAGATGAGAGCCTCGTGGGTAAGTGGAACTTCT